TTAGGGTTTAGGGTTTGGATTTGGTGTTGGGGGTTTACGGTTTCGATGTTTGGGGTTTAGGGTTTCGATACCCCAAAAATAGGACCCGCAGTTGCTCGGGTGTCTATGCAGGGGAGTTCTCGGGCCTGGGACGTTTTCGGAATTATCGGGTTTTATAGGATTCATATTGCGGAGTTGGTTTATATACAAAGTCAACCCAAGTGACATGCCGATGCCCGACTCGAAGGCAAGGGCTCTTTTTGTTGCAGCACGGGCCCTTCTCAGGAACCCCGAGTAAAGACCCCAAAATAGCCAGATGACCGTTCCTCTGCCAGGTCGGGGTCGCCCTGGACCCCCATTTGAAGAAGGGACCCCCGCATGTAATCAGGCACTCCACCCCCCCCCCCCCTGCCCCCTTTTCGGGTACCGGTTACAACACGCTAAACCCTAAGCCCTTAAACCCCTAAACCCCTAAACCCCTTAACCCCTAAACCCCTAAACCCTAAACCCTAGACCCCAAAACGGCCCACAGTCTTGAGATCCATCTTCTTATGGAACCCTAGGAGGCTCTAAGAGTCGCATTCTAGCTGGTTGAGGGGTTGAGTGAGGGTTTAGGTTTAGGGTTTACGGTTTAGGGTTGAGGGTTATAGGGTTGAGGGTTATGGGTTTAGAGTTGAGGGTTTGGGGCTTAGGGTTGTAGGTTTGGGGTTTAAGGGTGTTTAGGGTTGCGCGTTGAAGGCTGAGGGTTGAGGGGTTGGGGTTTCGGTTGTAAGGCCCGTCATCTCCAGATCCAGCTGAGCTAGTTGTCGAAAATGGGCCTGCTGCTGCATCCAGCAAGACACGCGGTTGGATTCTCGCATTTCTGCTCAGCTACTGTTCCGTAAGTTGAGATCAACGTCGCACGCCCTCACAATTCTTGCAGCCCTCACCGACCCGGAGCCCGAAACCCTAAACCCGAAACCCTAAACCCTGAACCCGAAACCCTGAACCTGGGAGCCAAGCTCCAAACCTCGAACCCCGAGTCACCGACCCTGAGTTCTAAACACCAGCACCTTCGACTGTGTGGCATAGGCTTTAGGGGGTTTGGGGTTTAGAAGGTGTAGGGTTTAGGGTTTAGGGTTTAGGGTCTCACCTTCTTCCCCCAATCCCTCCCCCAACCCTAAACCCTAAACCCGAAACCCTCAACCCTAAACCCTAAACCCCCCGCCGCTCGAGCCATGTCGAAGACGTACCTGAGTCGGGATATGATGGCAGGGACCACTTCCTGGGCTTCCTCCTCCGATCGGGAGACTGGGCTTTTGTGTCTTACGGCCATTCCTCTAGGATGCCGTAAACCCTAAACCCTAAACCCTAAACCCTAAACCCTAAACCCCAAACCCCAAACCAGTAGTATCCTTATTCCCTTTTTGGGGGGGTTTAGGTTCCCGTATAAACCCCTGTAAGCAAAGAAGGGCACCCTTTTTCAGCCTGGGGTACTGGGCAGAAAAATGCTAGAGTTGCGACCCATGACCACTATATATGACTTGGTTTCATGCCGGTTTACCATATGTTTTCCATGCTAAACCCAAAACCCTAAACCCTAAATCCTAAACCCGAAGGATCTCCGACTTAGGCCCTCTAACCCTGCATCCCGAAAAGCGGCTGTTCCAGAGGAGACCGGCGAGGATTCGGAAGATGACGAGATCTTCGTAGAGAAGGCCGCGGCTGGCAGGGTTTAGGGTTTAGGGTTTAGGGTTTAGGGTTAAGAGGGTTTAGAGTTCAGGGTTCAGGGTTTAGGGTGTGTAGGGTTTCGGGTTTAGAGGGTTTAGAGGGCTTAGGCTTGAGGTGGGTCTGGGGTTAGCGATTTAGTCTGCAATGCAGTCCTGGTTTCTTGCTGCGCTTCCGCGCCAGCTGCGAGAAAGCCCAGATATTCCCAACCTTTCGTGCGGCTTTGCTGGTTCTGTTGCAACTTTCGTAGCATCCCAGACTCAACTGTTAGCCCCTACGCTTCCAGAGCCCAACAATCGACACAGAACCTATATGGCAGCGGAGTCAGCGCGCGCGCCCAAATCGGTTTAGGGTTTGGGGCTTTGGGTTTTAGGGAAGCCCTAAATCCTAAACCCAGAACCCAAAATCCCATACCCTAAACCCTCAACCCCAATCCCCAAACCCTCTAACCCTGATCCTTAAACCCTAAACCCCAAACCCCAAAGCCCTGACTGACGTCAGGTGAGGAGAATCCGCTGGTTGGAGCTGATGACCTCCTCACAGAGCGGCCAGGTGTGCCGAGAGCATGCCCGCGAAATGGCCCAGGACTGGGCCGAGGGGTTTAGGGTTGAGGGTTTAGCGTTTAGGATTTAGTGTTTAGGGTTTAGGGTTTATAGGGTTTAGGGGTATTCAGCCTACGCATCGGCAGTGACAATTGTGAACATCATCTGTTTGCAGTTCTACATACATGCCTTAGTTTCCTATAATGTAATTCAGAAGAGTAACGCAAAATCACGCATAGCAACAATCAGTAAAATTTGCTGTGAATTTTCTTTATGGGCATGCCAATGATCCCGAGAAGAGAAGAGAGCGTTGCATCCACGGGGTTTAGGTTTTAGGGTTTAGGATTTAGGGTTTAGGGTTTAGGGTTGTGTTCCGCAAGCTTGCCTGTCTCTCACGTCATCTGTGGAGCATCACGACGCCCAGACCTCGTCAACCATGCCTTATTTTGGAGAAATTTGGGTTTAGGGGTCTTCGGTTTAAGGCTCCTCCACCACCACTCCTCCCCCAGGGTATAGGGTTTATGGTTATATATAGGGTTATGGGGATATACATCATCGTCACCGTCACTATAAACGCCGCTGCCACCACCACCGCCACCGTCAGCGCCAGTGTATCAACACCAAAGCTCATGGTCAGACTTACTGTTTCTGTCTGAGGCGTTGCCCTTCAACATAATCATAAGCATGAGTGCAATGCAGGGCTTTAGGGTTTTGGGTTTCGGGTGGTGACCCTAAACCCTAAATCCTAAGCCCTGAGCCCTACGCCTTAAACCCTAACGAGACGAGGAGTTCTGGATCCTCCAGCGGAGGGCGCGAATCCACGAAGCCCACAAGAACCTGCAGGCTTGGCCAGAGCACTCAGGGTGTGGAGGTCAGCTGCAAGCGTGCCTATATGAACGCTAGACCCCATACCCCTAAACCCTAAACCCGAAACCCTACACCCTAAACCCATCCAGAACCAGGAAGTCCGAAAGAAGCTTGGCAAGCCCAGCCTATCTGGAGGCCTGCGGAAGGCACCAAGGGGTTGCGGTTTAGGGCCTCTAGACTTTGTCGCCGTTTAGCCGCAGGGTAAGGGTTCAGGGTTTCGGGTTTCGGCTTTAGGGTTAAGGGTTTAGGGTTTAGGGTCTATAGGGTTTAGGGTTTAGAATTTAGGGTTTGGGGTTTGGGGTTTAGGATCTCGTGTTTCGGGTCTGCCGGAGCGCGGACTGCGACGTCCAGCAAGCGCCTGAACGCCTCTAAACCCTAAACCCTGAACCCTGAACCCTGAACCCTAAGCCCCAAACCCTAAACCCTCACACTCCTGCTTGGTCAGCTCAAACCTTCAGCATCCTCCTCCTCCCTGCGCTCCGAGACCTCCTTGACCTCTGGAGCTCGAGAGCCGCAAGACCCTGAACTTATACCATCATGTTAGTAGCTTTATATACATATATATGTACATATATATATATATATTATACTTATATTCATATATGAGCAGATTTGTATTTATATTTAGACTTATACTTATATTTATTAGTATATGTATATCTAGGACTCTCTCTCTCTCTCTCTGTATATATATATATATACATATTTATACTTATATTCATATGCATATCAATATTTGTATTTATATTTAAACTTATAGTTGTATTTATGTGTATATATATATAGGACTCTACATACATATATATATATATACAGAATATACCTATGACCTATGGTTAGAGTGCCGAATCATTATTCTCTAATCATCCCCGCCTCTCATCTACAGATGCTTGAAAGGCACGAGGCATGGATGAGATCCGGCGCTCCTACGAGCTCAGGCGTGCACTCGTATGCTCTGGCTCCAGGGGATTCGAATCTAGGGGTTCGGAATATTTTTCTGGTAGTAGGCCCTTATGGCCCGTTTGTAGTGATGCTACAAAATAAGCCCCCCCAAAACCCTATTCTGACTATTCAGGTCTGTAAACCCTAAACCCTAAACCCATGGTGTAGGTCCCTATGTGACAGACCCAGGGCCAGTTCGTATCGCAAAAGAAGGCTTCAGAGCCTTGGGGGGCCGTAGTTGGCCTGGCAGATCGCCCCGAAAGCCTTAATCCCCAAGCTTATCTGCTCTCAACCCTAAACCCTAAATCCTAAACCCTAAACCTGATGTGATGCCAACTGGGGGTTAAGCGCTACGGAGATTTCGGGTTTAGGGCCCTCCATCAGTGCAAGGATGGCAGGCTCAAAACCGGGGTATCAACCCCGGAACCCCGGTTTCAGCCCAGCAGGGATTCCTGGCAGGGATGTCGTAGCTTCGCGAACCTTGCGTACCTGAACCCCAAATCTCGTGTCATTGCGGCCGA